AAATTTTATACCTAATCAATAGATCGTTTCTCTGTTTGATCAAAGAGAAAAAGGGGATTGTATTCGTGTTCAGATAATCTGTAACGTGAACAGCTGTGGTGATTCACATCTGATTGGATTCCAGATCTCCCCTGCGCTGATTGTTACGTCTACGCGAAGCAGAATACGCTAGAACGGTAGAAACATCGTTCTTGTTACGCCATCAAAGTTTCGATAATAAATCGAATTGGTGTCAGACGTAGAGTTGGTAATTAGCTGCTCGAAACAGTAAGGGAATAAAATGCATTGTCCCGCGTGCATTCCGGCACGAGCAAAGTCCACGGCCGATTAATAATTCCGCGCATCTACGCGCCGCGAGGCTGTACATTTTAAATAGCGCGTTAATACATATTCACTGATGATAAACAATTATTTGGCAAGAGAATTACGAGCGCAAATCGGAATTTGCAACGCGACGGTTGAATCAGTAACGAACTAGTAATAATAATTAATTACTTAAGGAATATTACGACTTTCTAATAAATGAAAAGAAGAAAGTTTTCCAAAGACGTTTGACTCCGTTAAACGAACGCTGCGAAGATATTCGTCCTGGTCGCGAATAGAAATCGCATTAAAAGTTGCCTCGAGGACGTTTACAGCCGGCGATAAAAATAATTTATTACCGTGGCACGTGACGCGCCGCGGTGTAAATCCTCGACTCGTGGTAAGAATCTTCTCTCGAACGGGAAGGAAACGTTCAAGACGTGTCTCGTAATAAAAGTTTCCAATCAGAAATTCATATGAACAATCGTACTTTCATGGAATCAACTGTGTCCGATGTGTCTACCGTTCATTTTCCTATCTGTAATTGCGTCAAATCCTGAGTGAAAAATCTCCTTTCGCCGCCGATGCATTTCGCGTCGCGTTATTTAGAATATCGAGTAAATTTTTCTCTATTAACCAGTTAAATGTGTTTGACGACTATATCCGTCATGGAAGAATGGCAGAATTTTGTGTTATCACGGCTATATCCGTGAATAAAGTCATTCATTTTCTAAAATAAAGTCGTCTTTTTGACCCAATATTTCAACAGCACCACTTACTCTGTGTTTGACGACTATATCCGTCATGGAAGAATGGCAGAATTTTGTGTTATGACGGCTATATCCGTCATGCGTAAAATTTTGTTACAATTTGATATTTAAATTGTAATTCTGGCGAAAACTAAATTATATTCGTAAATTTTAATATGTTTAGAATGTTACGGGGTCAGGACGAAATGAAATAAACAAATGAAAATTATAGATAATTTGAGTTGGATTTCTAACTTCCTCAGAGCTAACTATATCCGTCATCGCTTGATTATCGCGACACACACTGGGGCGCACTTTGCAAAATGATCGACACAGTTAACTGGTTAAATTTACTTGGTTATTGAAGAATATCAAAAGGAAGATGCATGAAGCAACGAAAGGATCGACGGCGTACTGGTAATGACTTTCGACTAGTTAATCGTAAATCGTGTACGGCAGCTGTATGCCAGGACGACGACGGTCAATGCCGCGTTGACCAGTGGGGTACCTAGAAAGTAAGCGTGACATATTCGACGTTAAGCGTGGAATCGGCGAGGATAGGTAACCCGCCTCGTTCCACGGATTAGCATCCGTGTTAGCCACAAAAATTAGAGAAAGAGAGATAACAGAGAAAGACAGAGAGAGAGAAAGAGAGATAGAGATAGAGAGAAAGTAGATAGACAGAGAAATAGACACGACACGGTGTACACACAATACCTTTCTCCAACATTAACAAAATCGTGAGGTGTGATCTCTCTGAGAGGAGCGTGTGTGGTGTCGGGCGTGTATCATCCACGTACGCGAGACGAATCCGGAGAGAAACGAAACGAAACGAAACGGAAATAAAATTAAACAAACAGGAGAGCGCAGAATATTGGCAGGAGTTAAATTAGGTTTTTAGAAGAATAGTTAGAAATGCCTGATGATGGATCATGGGACCAATCGCCGCGAAGCTTTTGCAATGAAATCTGCAAAATTTAATGTTTCTTAACCCTTTGACTACGGCAGACTTTGGCACGCACTGGCCGTACGGTACGGTACGAATTCATTCGAGACGTCCACTGGGTACGGCGACATTTTTCGTTAGACATGCATTTCTGAGGAAGTATATTAAAATATTCAAAATACTGAAATTTATTACATTAAACGAATATTACTTGAAGTGAACATTAATTTTAAGCTTTTTTTAAATAACTTTCTACATTACTCTACATTACCATAAGACCAATTATAAAATTTTAAAATAGGCGGAACAAGCGAAATTTGATTTGGACGCCAATTGGCGCCTACAGTACCGGGAAGCCAATATGTTTCGGACGCCAATTGGCGCCTACAGTACCGGAAAGCCAATGTGTTTCGGACGCCAATAGGCGCCAACAGTAGTCAAAGGGTTAATTTGTTGAATTTTTCTTAAGTCTTTGGATAATATTAAAATGTCATCAACATAAATGATAGCTATTACTAAATTATCCCCTTTATGACAATAATACACGCAGGGATCAAAATTAGAAGATTGTAAACCTAATGATTTCAATTCTTCGCTTAATCTTGCATGCCATTGTCTACCGGCTTGTTTCAAACCGTATATTGCCTTCTTCAGTTTACAAACTTTGTTACCGGCCTTTAGTTGCTTCAACATCTTCTTAGCTGTATTTCCAATGAAACTATTTGCATCTTCCGTTGTTATAATTTTACTTAATATATCTTGCATATTTTCCGGCACCTCCATGTAAATCTCTTCGTTCAGAGAACCGTTTAAGTATGCAGTGGTTATATCCACTTGATGAATACTCATTTTATAATGAGCAGCCAATGCCACTGCTAGACGAACTGAACCTAAACGAGCTACAGGTGCAAAAGACTCATCGTAGTCTACTCCAGGTCTTTGGCTATATCCTCGAGCAACCAATCTAGCCTTCCTTCTGCTAACAGTTCCGTCAGGTCCATATTTATTCGTAAGCACCAT